AATTAACCAACCAACCAATTAACCAACCAACCAATCAAATGAACCAACCAACCAATCAGACCAACCAATCAAATTAACCAACCAACCAATCAGACCAACCAATCAAATTAACCAACCAACCAATCAAATTAACCAAACAGCCAATCAACTAACCAACCAACCAACCAACCAACCAATCAAATTAATTAATCAACCAACCAACCAACCAATCAGACCAACCAATCAGATCAACCAATCAACCACTCAACCAACCAACCAATCAGATCAACCAACTCACCAACCAAATAATCTGGGACTAAAACACATGTAATTTTAGACTTTTGCACTACATTTTGATCGTGATCTTTCTACTCATGTGTAATAGTCTGCAGTGCTGTATTGTCTGGCTTGGTGTTATATTATTTCAGATGACTAAAATGTCAATAAAAGTCACTTTGTTAAACTGTAGAGTTGAATGTTCAAGATCAGAAGTGGACAGAGCAGAGATCAACATCTCATAATGCAACTCACACCCGTAAATAAACAGAAAACACACCAAATGCAGAAACTGTTCATTAACAGATATGCTTTACAGTGTTTATTACATCACTGTGAAAATACAATGCATAGTTTAGTGGTGTGCTCTTCTCCAGACAGCAGGCTTTATATTTCAGCTTCTGTCTATCAAAAGCTCTTAAAGTGATGATCTAATAAAAGAAATAACAGCTAAAGAGCGTCTGAAGAGTCTGACAGGGATGTGGAAACTCGACAAGATGCTCAAAATAAATGAAATCTGACTTCTAGTGCTGTCGTTTCAGCCTGGGGTCAAATCCAAAGGGATTCTGGGATGTTTTTAGTGTCAGCTCCTACAGGAATCAACACTGAATTTTTCTACCGTCTTCCTTTTCTTCTGAGACTAATTTCTACATGCATCTCCTACTAGACCCTCCATACTACAACCACTAAACTTACTCCAAACCTCCAAACTATACTGAATTAAGTTGCTATATCTTTTCCAACTGATCCGACTTACGGTTTTCCCAAAACTGACCCGGAAAATTTGGAAAAGTCCCATTGACTTAACATTGGACTAAACATTATAACCTCAAAACTTTTTGTGCCAGACTGTCATACAGACTTAAGTTTTGGCTCATTTATCTCAGAATACCAATCTGCCAATCACTGATCACCATTTAAGTTGCTAACCACACCCTAGCAACCAGTTACAACATCTTACCAACTGTCCCATAGAATTCCATTGTAAAAGAAAAACTGCCATTGACTTTACATTGGACATACTAACAACATACAAATCAATGCTAACAATACACCAATCCATACTAGAAACATACTAACAAACATACTAATCATACTAGCAACATGCTAATTCATACTAGAACCCTGGTAAAACCATGGTATTCTGATGCAGCTCCAATAGAAACTGAATATTAAATGAGAAAACAGTGGGCGTGGCTTGGTTTTTCTACTGCGAGCTGATTGGTTACAACCAATCAGTTATTACAACCTAACAGACTCCTCCTCCTGCTCACCATTTCTGTTTGCTGTCAAAACTGACAGTCGGAGGGGTGTGGTTAAGTATATTTAGCCACGCCCACTACCTCAGACCTTATCTTAAGAATTTAACTAAACACTAACAGGAAGTGCATTTTCAGATTTTAATTTTGCAATTTTTTTCTTAATAACGACTTGTTCTCCACAAAACTAGCAATGTGCGCTAACAAAATCAATATGCTTAGTTTTCATTTCATAGGGACTTTAAGGTGTTACCAACGAGAGTCTGTATGTATTACGCATGTATTAGTTATTATAATATAATACTGTATTTATTAGTTAATATAAATGATACACAGAAATATGTTATTATACAGTGGAAATGGACAAAAAAAGCAAACAGTACCAAACCATTGAGTGGAAATACGTGTTACCAATAGCATTTGTTTCCTAAAACAAGCCACGCCCACTCTTTTCTCATTAAATATTCTGTTTTCCAGGGAACTGCGTCACAATACAGGAGAAAAAAGGGTCACAGCTTCTAGTTCGTGTGGACATTAAACCTTTAAAGGTTTAAATGAACTGAAAGCTGTGACCATTTTTTGACTTGTATCTGTTCCCAGAGAAACAGAATATTAAGAGTGGGCGTGGCTTGTTTTTTTCTACTGCGAGCTGATTGGATGCAGTAAAGTAGGCGTTTCATTCAGAAAGATGGGGAAAGGGGTTTGGGGAGAGTTATTACAACCGACAGAGTCCTCCTCCTGCTCACCATTACTGTTTGTTGTTAAAACTGACAGCTGGAGGGGCGTGGTTAAGTGTGTTAGCCACACCCACTACCTCAGACAGACCTCAGATCATTTAATTTTCCATTTCTCTAGGAACTGCATCACAATATGGAAGAAAAAAAATGGTCACAGTGTCCAGTTCATGTGGATTTTAAACCTTTATTAGCTGATGATTGATTATAAAGCTTGTTTGGCATGCTGTCCCTGAAGAGAGCCCTGAGCTCATAAGATCCTTGAGCTTGGGGCTCCCTCCCGTTTGCAAGGCGAGAGGGGAGTTTGAGCTCAGGTAGATCTCGAGAACTCCCCTGCTGTATTAACTAGTAAACAGATAGTGATCGCTCTTAAGAGATGACTACTTTCTAGGAGCATGTCTATGGGGCTGATTTGGATTGGTCTATTCACTTAGGTTGCGTGTTTTTGGACGGTGGGAGGAACTCGGGGAACCCGGAGGAAAGCCACATGAGCACGGGGAGAACATGTGAACTCCACACAGAAACGTTGGCTAGCTTGGTAAGGATTAGAACCAGTGACATTCCAGCTTTGAGGCAACAGGGCTAACCACTGGGCCACCGTGTAACCCATCTAGAAAAGGAGGAGGAGTTGGAGAGGAAGAGGGGATTCTTCAAAATGAAGACGGCTGTGATATGGAACTTAGGGTATTTTATAGTGGCTTAGGAATCGTCTGATTGGTGAATCATGAATTAGTGCAGGACCGGCTGTGATCAATCATAAGCATGTGATCCTCTCCAAATTAGTTTATATTAGTGCTGTCAATCGATTAAAAAAATTAACTAATTAATCAGACCATTTTTAAAAAATTTATCGCAATTAATCGCATTTAAAATACTGAAACTTGTAATTTTGCCTATTTAAATGTAAAATTAATGTAAACGCAAGAAAAAATATTTAAATTCAAAATATTATTGTTTAATAGAATTTTTGTTTAACTTGTAACACAGATTTCTTCATGTAAACTACCACAATACCACAATAAACCATCAAGATCCTGACTTGACAGCCATATTTATTACAGAAATTAAAACACAGGCATGTTAATGACATTTAAATTTCAAAACAATTAATGTCAATAAAGAAAACATTGATTTCCATGTTGGATTCTAAGTGGACTGCAAAAAAAATGCCAAAATACAGGAATTGCAGATATGGAAAATGAAAAATTATAATAATAAACTACAGAATACAAACTGTTGTACTCATTGTAAAGTTTTATTGCTGTGAGTTGAGAACATTAATTATAGAGTAGAAACAATTTTGCTTAATCCTCCTTTACATTCATCCAGTTGCTAAGACTAGGAGTATCCCGCAAGTGCACAGAGACTCCCAAATGCCCGCAAATGAATGATAATTTCTTGCAAACCGGTCGTTAAATACATTGCACACCCCTCTCGCCCCTACTCAGATACGTCGCTCACTCCACCCCTGACCCCCCTCAACTTACCTGACACAGACACACACACACACAGACAGACAGACACACACAACGCGCTGCAGACGTTTTGGCCCCAACGGCCTTCCATACTGGAGCGACTCCCCTCAGATTCAACACGCATGATCACGTTCATCAAATTTGCTAAGCGTCCTAAACTAAGCGTCCTAAAGTATTACTGTATTTCACAAGGATTCTGACACAACAACGCGAAGCAGACGCTTTCATTGCGTTTAATAAGGAAACACGCTAAACTTGGAGGGCTCATGCTGAAAGGCAGAGTAATGCCCTGTCTTTGACAGCTCGCGACTTCACTAGACGTTCTGAGTACATTTACATAAGACACCAATACTCCGATTTTAATATGATTAAGATTATATTCTTATTAACAGTCTACCGTGTAGCCTTAAAAGGAACCTTACCTTAAAGGAACACCGAGTCACAAAATGCGGAGGATTTTCTTTCTGTTCGCCATGCGGTATCAACTTACAACAGAAGTCGAAAGTTAAAAATGAAACACCCGAAATTGCATGAAACTCTGGATAACCTGTGATGCAACTAATTGTTTTATACTGAAACTTGCCTTCAAAAAGTGCTTCCTTGGTCTTATCCACATTTATTGCATGTTGAACACACGTCCACCACAACAGGAAGTAAAAAAAACCTGAACTGCGTTAATTGCGTAAATTTTTTTTAACGCGTTAATTATTTAAAATTAATCGCATGCGTTAACGCGTTAATTTTGACAGCGCTAGTTTATATATAAACTTCACAAATTTTAAATGAACTGGAAGCTGTGACCAGTTGTTTACTCGTATTGTGAAGCAGTTCCTAGAGAATCTGAATATTAAATGAGAAAACAGTGGGCGTGGCTTGTTTCTACTGCGAGCTAATTGGATGTAGTAAAGTAGGCGTTTCATTAAGTAAGATTGGGAAAAGGGTTTGGGGAGAGTTGTTACAACCTAAAAGACTCCTCCTCCAGCTCACCATTTCTGTTTGTTGTCAAAACTGACAGCTAGAGGCGGTGTGGTTAAGTGTGTCAGCCCCGCCCACAACCTCAGACAAACCTAATCTGAGATTTTAACTCCAGATGCATTTCCAGATTTCAAATTTAGAGGGTAAACTATTATTTTTTTCTTAATAACTAATTATTCTTTACAAAACTAGCAATGTGAGCTGACAAAATTAGTATGGTTAGTTTTGATGTCATGTGGACTTTAAGTGTTACTAAGGAGAGTCCAATAGTTTTGGTTTCCTAAATCACGCGTGTTGCTGACCTGTCTGCGTCCTCGGTGTTGGTGTTATTGGTGCAGCTCTTGTCCTCCTGCTCCTGTGAGGAGGTGGTGCTGACGGCGCTGCGGGCGGGACTGCTGTCTGCGGAGGCGCTGGTGGTCCCGGTGCCAGTGCCGGTGGGCAGGGGTGTGTTTGTGTTCTGCTTGAGCGTCTGCAGTTTGGCCAGCGGGATGATGTCGCAGCTGTGCGGCCGGTGCCAGACCGTGCGCTGCGTGGAGGCGTTGTAGTAGTAGAAGCGGGACGTCTTGGAGTCGAAGAGCTCCCACCATTGGTCCTGCCCGCTGCGTTTGATGCGAACGCCGGCCGGGGCGTCCCACACACACTCGCCTGTCAGCAGGTTGGCGTACATGCGCTCGCGGGTGCGCGGCTCGATGATCTCCACCCATTCCAACCTATACACACACACAGATACAGAAGGGCTCATGAAAGGACCACAGTCAAGGCAACAAGACTACATCCTAATGCTCCTGAATACAATAAAATCAAATAATTAACAAATTAATTAAAATTTAATTTAATTTAATTAAATAAAATTAAATAAATATGAAAATTTTACAAATAAATTATTATTAAAATAAAAAAAATAATTAAAATGCAAAAATTTTAACATTCATTGATTTTCCTTCGGCTTAATCCCTTTATTTATCAGGGGTCACCAAAGGGGAATGAACCAACAACTATTCCAGCAGATGTTTTACACAGCGGATCCCCTTCCAGCTGCAACCCAGTACTGGGAAACACCCATACTCACTCATTCACACACACACTCATACACTACGGTCAGTTTAGCCCATCCGTTCGCTTATAGCGCATGTGTTTGGACTGTGGGGGAAACCGGAGCACCGAAATGACAACTGACTCTGCCGGGACTCGAACCAGTGACCTTCTTGGTGTGAGGCGACAGTGCTAACCACTGAGCCATCGTGTCCTTAACATAAAAACTTATTTCATAACATGTTTCATTGTGTGTGTGTGTGTATAAGTGTAACTGTTTGTGTGTATGTGCATGGTTGTCTTTATATGCGAGTATGAGAGTGTGTATTTGTGTGAGTGTGTGTGCGCATTTACATCAGCGTATGCATGTATGAATGTGGGTGTATTTAAGTGTGTGTGTGTGTGTGTGTGTGTGTGTGTGTTTGCGATGTAATGATCAGCTCTTTGTTGTAATTGTTTGCATGTGTATGCATGTGTATGCGTGTGTAGCGTATATGAGTGTCCGGTTTTGTGTATCTGTGTGTGTGTGTGAAAATCAACCCTGTTTTTGTGTGTGTGCATGCATATGTGTTGTGTGTGTCCATGTGTAGTATATATGTGTGTGTGTGTGTGTGTGCGTCTGTGCGTATGTGAGTGTCTGTGTGTGTGTGTGTGTGTGCGCATGTCTGTGTGTATGTGAGTGTCTGTCTGTGTGTGTGTGTGTGTGTGTGTGTGTATGTCTGTGTGTATGTGAGTGTCTGTCTGTGTGTGTGTGTGTGTGTGTGCGTGTCTGTGTGATGCGAGTTTCTGTCTGTGTGTGTGTGTGTGTGCGCGTGTGTATGCGTGTGTAGCGTATATGTGTGTCCGGTTTTGTGTATCTCTGTGTGAAAATCAACCGTGTTTTTGTGTGTGTGCATGCATATGTGTTGTGTGTGTCCATGTGTCTGTGTGTATGTGAGTGTCTGTCTGTGTATGTGTGTGTGTGTGCGCATGTCTGTGCGTATGTGAATGTCTGTCTGTGTGTGTGTGTGTGTGCGCATGTCTGTGCGTATGTGAGTGTCTGTCTGTGTGT